AGGAGGCGTGATTTAAACGCACATTGTAAATTTGCTCACGAAGGTGTGATCTTTGCTACAGACAAATATTCTATGGCTGCTTAAAGCAGATGGTAAAAAACCTCGGTTGGTCGCACACAGTCACTCCTACTCTTGAGTCATTTGTCCCACCAGGAAAGATAAGGCCAAACCTCCGCGACAGTTCTTAGACGATTAAGACCAACCACACCTCGAAGTCTACCGTACGGGCTAGTCACGCAAACCGGTGCTAGCGCTTTAGACGCATCAAAGAATTATTGGAGGTAATCAATGAGGTGTATCTGCGGACGGATGTTTTTTTAAAGAATTTCCAGAAACCGGAGAATATGTGAAGAAATTCAGCGATCGCATACATCCGGCTATCCCAGTCATTGCCAAAATAATAATGCGAGATTTGAAGAAATTGTCACACTAACGAACAATGAACAATGAATTTATACGGGTTAAGAAGCGGTGCTTTACAAGTCCCGTTGGATAGTAGGTGGAGATATCGATATAACAGTAATGATAATAATGATAGTAAAACAGTTAGTACTCTAAATATGAAAACGACTTCTCGTTTGCTCCACCTTAGTAATGTAATGCGCTTAGATGCACAACACTCGCAGTTAACGTCAAATAATTCCGTTAAACTTCAGGTGTAGGATGGAGACGTAGTACTAAGTGACAAAGTGTAAGTGGATGAGTGCATCGTCCAATCGTTTTCTAAATACTGTTAGTGTCGGTGCAGAGACAACCGATTCTTGGAGAGTATTCCATGGATGGCAGAGGCGAATGGAAAAGAAATTTCTGCGGCACTCCAGGCGGCTATAATGTACAGCGAGTTTCAATGAGTGGCCCCTCAGGGTTCAATTGCTGTTGAGTTGCAGTAAAGGGCGGCACACATGATGTGGGTCTCGCAGAATCAAGTATGCCATAATCAGGTCGCCTCGTAGTCTACAATAGCTTCCGCTGAATATCCCCAGTCATTGCAGCCACTCCTGGTAGGAAAGATTGCGCATTCCAATTACGTTCTTAGATGCCCGACCTTGTGGCTGCTCTAGTGCATTAAGGTCGTGTTTAAGCCATGGATGCCAGCTTGAATTGCGTATTCGACATGGGGGCGCACAAACACAATGAGCATTTGTCGAAATATGGAGCAGTTTATTTTTCCAAACGCCCGTCGCAACAGCCCGACGTGTTGGTTCCCGGTCTTCGAGGCCTTTTCGGATTACCTGGAGCAAACCAAGTCATCTTGAACCAGGACACCCAAGTCACGTCGGAGAGTTGATTGTTGCAGTGTATTAATTCCAAACCGGTATGAGCAGTTGCTCTGATGTCGGATGGAAAGCACCTCGCATTTACCGAGGTTGGAATGCAGTAAGTTTTTGATTGACCATGGATACACCGTATCTAAGTCACTCTGAAGCAGATGTTGGTCCGCGTTCGCCTGGATCCTGCGCCAGATCTTGATATCATCGGCAAACATTAGGAACTTTGAAGCGATTCCCTGTGCAAGGTCATTAATAAACACCAAAAACGAACGTGGACCTAGAACTAAGTCTTACGGCGCACCACATTCGACTTGCATGGGGTCCGATAAAGAGCTCCGAACTCTGACCACTAATTGCTGTTGGAGTGGAAAGTTTGCAATCCAGCTTAAAACAGGGTCACCGATCCCGTAATGCTGGAGCTGGGAGAGTGGTACCCGATGGTCTAGAAGATCGAAAGCCTTGGAAAAATCCAGATAGATCACAACAACACCTTCTTCAGCGTCAGCTGCCTCGGTCCAACTACTGCGTGCGATTAGTAAATTCCTTGTACGTGACCGTTGTCGACGGAAACCGTGCTGTTCAGGAGTGATGAGTTTGCAGTTTTCCAGATAGCACATCAGTGCATCGGCAACTGTTGATTCCATGACTTTGGAGAGTATAGGAAGAAGGGATACTGGTTGTTTGTTCGAGGGATCAGTTCTGCTTCCACCTTTGGAAACGGGGTTATTATTTCAAGCTTTCACATAGCGGGAACTTGATTCTTGTCTGAGCGCTAGAAAAAGTGAGCTATAGGTCCTACCAGTTGGCTTACTGCTGCTTCCAGTGCCTCTGGACGAATGATTTCGACACGCGGCGAGTTATGTTTGCGTGGAGACATCCGCATTTGCAATACAGCCTCCGCGGTAAGGAAAGGATGTAGGTTTGTCTTGGCGAGGAGACCACAGATTTTGATATATCGCTTGGTGTCTAGACCCTTTGAAGAGTGTGGGCATATTGCATCTGCAGCGCGTTTGCTGGTTCCACAGCCTGACAGTCAAACTTGTACACAGAAATACCCAATAAAATTACCTTTTATAGCATAACGATACGTTGAGCCATGACTCAACATGTTCCGCTAGCCTTCTAAGGGAGAGGTTTACTTAAAATTTGCCTGTCTTCACTTTGTAAGCCACATCCAAAGATATGCAGTTGTTGAAGAAGGTACCACACCTAGTTGTATGCGGAGGTAAATCCGTATTTATTCTGCCAATGTGGTGGAAAAGTGGCTGCGCACCTGACCATAGAGACCAGTATGGAGTGTGCCGGGGCTGTTGAATAATGGGTGATCTCACACGAGTAGGTTGTTCAAGTGAACTTCATCTGGACGGACGTAGTTTACGAACGGAAACCGTTAAGGGGAGATTGACGCGAATGAACCATAATTGTGTTCAGCATGTTCTAGTTCTGCTTACAACAGGCGTCCATCCCCGTGCACAGTGAAATTGTGAATAGAAGGACAGAAATTTTAGGTGGGACTTGATACAGAAGCTTCACAGGTAATAACTAGAGTAAACCATGTGAAACTTACCGCCGTTATCATCACATGGTTCTAACCCCAATACGTGTACCCTTGATTCGACCGCGTCCCTCGTAAATGACTTGAGCACGCTGGTCGCGATGACACACAAGCTCCCTATATTTGTACTATCGGGGGTGGACAAAGTATACTCGGGATGGATTGGATACACGCATTCCCCTCGCATTGGATGGATAACAAAGATTTGCCGAAGTTATTACGCTAGAAGAAATATAAACGCAACCATCATAGGTGTGTGTTGAGGTGATTGCTAGTGACGAAATACTTGTTGTCTAATGGGAGGGCTGGAAGGTTCTTCATACTGATTTCGATTGAATACTCAATGTACATAAACTAATGTTTGCTCTCGTTGTTATGAGTGATTTGATTTCTAATTATTTTGCTCGTTATGCCGATACTAGTATGAGATCTCTGTACATAATCGTCTAACCTTACGATGGATCAGCTTCTCTAACAGTCGGAAAATATTTACTTTCAAGTTACAAAAAGACTGGAAGAAGTTGCCCTCCTAAAATTGTCAAAGCTGGAGCACTACCGTACACCGCAGGGTCCGAAGGCGAAGAGACGTTAAGCAGCCTATAAAAGAGGACAGTGTCATTTCAATACGATTTTGGGGCCAGTGATGAGATGAATTGTTCGGCGCGAAGTTATGGCGGCTACAATATGACTGTCAACCGAGCTTCTATGTTAAAGTGACATTGAACAGATGTGGAAAAAAATTGGCAAGTTTGATTTGTCAGAAATATCCGCAAACAGCCTGGCAAAGCGTCCCGGAAGCTGCACATCACCAAGGCACTCGCACACTTTATGAAACCAGTTCCGCTCTTGTTCTCTTGCAAAGGAGTGATTAGGACATAGTAAATTGTCCATCTTTTATATTTATGTGAGTTGTGTTCACATATCTAGACTCTCTGACGCATAACCTCCTTGGACTCTGTCTGTTGTTCACAAACGATTGACGCTAAATGGATTGAAATTGGAGCTTATTTCCAAGCCTGTGTGTTATGTAGACATTCACCTGACAAAATTTGCGTACGTGTTCCAAACGACTATACAAAGCCAGCTGTGAAAAATGCATGAAATCGAATACGGTGGATAGACTCCGTTCGTCTCTGAAAGTGATGCTTCATTACCTCTGCTTCTTGTCTGAGAAATCCATGTTATCGTCTTCACGGAATGCGTTATTCTGCAGCTTATTTCTCAATAAAGCCAAACAAGACCCCGTGTCCACACCAAGGCAATTCGAAAATGCCACTCGTTCTCCTTGGAAAGCGATACCGGTGCTTCCCAGGGCCACCGCATGACTGAAGTTCGTGCACTGCAGAGCGGTTGAATCACGTACCCTATGATTGACCAAAAAATACCGTGGCTTAGCGAAGAAGTACCTAGAACTACACACGGAACATAAGCCACTATTTGACTTATCGGGCGAAGTCAAAATATCTAGCAAATGTCATCAGGGAAGCAGAATTGGGTTCCAACATTGAGCGTATACACTAGGAAAATTACTCATTGTTCTAGTATCAGAAACTGCACAAGCGGTATACCAGCAATAGAGACATGGTACGAAACCGATCACTCCTCTGAGCTGGTTCATTTGATGCAACGCATGGATATCACGTCCGTAAGAGGTTCTTCGACTTAACAGTGGATGGACCGTTATAATTGAGGGAACGCCTCTATTATGATTGCGTGTAACGCCTGATAAGATTGTCACTGACACGATTGGAGTACACCTACGGTAACGGATTGGAACGCTGGCCAATCGAACGGATTTGCGTTGACCTGATGGCGTTAGCTTAGCCCGGGGTACGCGCTGGTGAGACGGAAATTGAGCGAGCGTGAGAACGATCCTAGCCGCACGTATTTGGGTAGACGCTGAGCCCTCGGAACGGACGCACACGAGAGGGGGTTACGGTAGACGCGCGCTAACGATGCACACAAAATCACGTGACCGACCGACTCCCAATTAAGGCGAAGAGAAAAAAAAGGCAGGTGGTCCTCTGAAGGCTCTTTTACGACCAACAAAGGGCAAATCACAGCCAATGCTATGGGTCATTAAGTTAAGGAAACTATCTACCACGACGGGGTGGCAGTTTGTAGAAGCACATTCTCAGCAGGTGCGCAGTTGGGCCGCGTCTAGGAGTGACTGAACGCTGCTGCGTTGTGGGGGGGAATTGGACCTCGCTTTCCACAGCCATTCTGCCGGGGTTTCTGGCGCGTTTTTGCGGGAATATTTGACGGGCCAGCAACATGGACCAAAACCAAGTTCTCACGAAAAAGTAGGTGGTTTATAACGGTAGGATCGTTCGCTGCCAAGATCACCGACATAGCCATTTACAACCCACAGAAATGAACCGAGCCATTCGATGGCTGTATTCCGGGGTTTTCGGCTGATTACTTCTACAGGAACTCGTTAGATAACTTTCCAGTAGCTCCATGTTGCCTACCCAAAGGTAGCGAGAATGAAGGATTTATTGACAGTTAAATGATACTAATCAAAGAGCTACTTGACTTGTGAAATTTGTGATACCTCCTCAGACATGCTAAGACCCGCAAACCTCCTCAAGCGTTCTCGTAACCACAGTCTGACAAGCCGGGACCACGAATCAACATCCAGAACTTCGATCAAACCAAAAAGACTATATCATTTTTAGTTATTTATGCAAATTCCAAGCGCATGGGTATGAAATCAGGTACCCAACGGACGTCCGGAGCCATTGTCGCAGAATGCGTTATTCGTGTGTTACTTATGGAAACCCGTAATTGCACACTCAGTTTATCTAGCTTGCTAACATTAACATAGTTTTGCACATCGAATCGGTTTTTTGTCATTGGGGTTCATACGTTAGTGCAACGAGGACTGCTCAAACAGTGGTCCAGAGCCTTACAGATAAAGCTGGATCGTTTTCTGCTACCATATCGTTCCAGGCCCACAGGTAGCAAGGTGAATTCTCTGAGGAACTGATGCTTGGTCGAAACTACTGAAGAAGGCTACGTCTGACATATAAAAACTCACGCATTGGAACTGAAGAGTAACATTGAGCTAGAGAAGGATGTCACGTTCCGGAAAGATGATGATGCTTACACTCATTCACTACATGAAAGATGCTGACAGTTCGCAATCGTCGTCGTCTTCTTGAGAAGCCAAAAGGATGTGCAGCTTTCAAACGGTCGTGCTGTTCGTCAACATTTAGACCACAACTGTCTACATAGAACATCACGTCACCTACAGAGGAAAGCTCAAACGAATAGGGAACAGGAACCAGATGACGGTCAGCATGGAAAAGTGAACTTGACTCTGCTGTGAAGATCGAAACGTATTGCTAAGCTTTTCTGTCGTTTCCAATCAGGACACTGAAAACAGCCGCAGTGATGAGATATATGCTCACCCATAGGCCTAGCCATTGGATAGTTACAAACTGTGGTTGAATGGCAGGTCTAATGATTCTTCACACACGCAGTCGCGCAAATACATACTGCACCTGCTGTCTGTCCCCGGCGCACCTGCGAAGGTGAGCGGCATTGTAGGTTCAGAGTTAGAATACCTCGTGTTCGGTCCACGCATGTTTTGCTACCAAGAAAACACAACCTCTACGTATACGTACTAGCATAGACCTAATATTGCCACTTATCCTCTACCGGGAGGAATTGTTATACCATTCAAAAACGGGAATTGGACGCACGTGACAAATTCCCTGCTAAAATTACGCAAAACTGACTCACACATTGGATGTTGCTTTGGGATTTGGCGTAGCTTACCTGGATTCCATGAAAGCACTAGTTAGGTTGGATCATCACATCCTCCTTTCCAAGATCCTGAATTACGGCACTAGTGATCATCTTCCAGGGTGGATTAGTAATTTTCTACATCATGGGTACCTAGAAGTAAAAGTGCGTGGATCCACATCTGGTTCCATTCGATTCGATTGTTCATCATCAGCGCCACGTATACCTTTGACTCTACCAACGATCTGAAAACTCTTATCATTCGCCGATCCAGTATTTCTTTTGCATGTCTCCGCTCAACGATCTATAATGGGTTTTTTCTCTGCGATCGATTGTCTTGAATTAATGAACGAACACTATTCCCATTCTAATGGATGCAATCGGTCATAATTGGTAATAAAGCACTCATTACTGCAGAGATGTCATAAACTGCATTTGTACTATGGTTACAGTACATTATTCTTTATAAAACTCTGGCTGGAGTGCAAAAGTCTTTCCCTCTAGTGTTTTGTATCATCGTCGTTATTCGTCAATATTCTCCATAAAGTCTCGATTTGCCTATCTGAGGTGATTGTAATTGGTTTTTTAATTCCTCGTAAGTTTCTTTTTTTATTTCACTGTCGGCCATGAGTGAGTCGATCTCTTGAGGTGACGGACTCCCGTTTCCAAACTAATAATTATACTCAAGCAAGGCATATTGCTATTGACTCAATGACGCGATTGAGTATGCGCTGTCATCTGTACGAAATAAAAAAGTGCCATGTTCAAAATAGATGAATGATGGAACCGGCTAGATAGACTGATCGCCTATAACATATGCATGAAGAAACAGCCCTAAATTGCGTTAAAAGTGAGTTGGCCTACTTGCTAGTTTGCCACACCGGCACATCGCCAATTGGAGGATGGAAGTGCGGGTGAAACCTATTGAGGGAATATCCTACATGGAGGCAGGTCCCTTGGGTACGATTTCACGGATGACCATGTCACTTTACTTGAACATGTAGTTAAATTTGCATTTGTTATTGTTCCCGGTTTCTTAATCTCTCCAATACTTTCAAAATGCCAAGCACTAGAATAATCCGTTTGGGATCTATTGTATAAAACTTGAGTAACTACCTAGCTTATGCGATCTCGCTGTACAAATTTATCAGACCACTTAGTTGGACTGTGCATCGCATCGTCGAGGAATGTACCGTTCAAGTATTTCGAAATACATGAGTAATGCCAAAAACATTACTATATGGCGAGCGATCGAAATAAGAAGTTAGCACATAAAACTTCAAGCTCATCTCGATTTGGTTTATGAATGAGCAGTCCAGAATACTACTCAATTCGATCCAGGCAAATGTAGAAGGTTTCAGTTACAAGATATGACTCATTCTACCAAGCTGGACTACCAAGATCTATGAAACATTATGAAAAGACTCTCGATATGTTGCTTTGGATAGCTCTCGGTATTCAGGGCAATCCGAAATGGCATCTGAGAAAGGCACTCAAGACATGGAATAACTGCAGACATTGTTCGGACGCTTCGTTTCGTCGAGTTTCACGCAAAGCCCCTTACACACGCGCTTTCATGTATGATATAGAATCTGAGCCATGACTGAAGTCAGAGCTCACAATTTTGGAGATTCCGTACTATCGGGTGAAGCTGAACTTCAGAGCCTTGCGGCATTAGCCTTACGAAAAGAGGAGGACAGTACTAAGAATTTTTGGTAGACAGTTGCTCTCTGTGTAGTGAATATCCAAGGAAGGCGGCAGACATATCTATCCAGTGAAGAATCTGAGATCAGTGCGTTGCGGTCTCTGGATATGATGGAGCCATCCATATTAGCCAGATGGAGTAATCGACACGTACTGATGGTGACCGAATGCCTTGCGCATTGTATTCAATGAGCGAGGATCTCGGACCAAATGGCTAACCTATACCGCGTTGAACCAATTGAGAGCGAATCACGGAATTCTGAACGACAAACTACTAGACTCGGGTATATGTCGTGAGAACGATAAATTCCGGGCATTAGTGAAGGTGCATAGTATCAAACAGGTGTAAACTATCCGCTACCATGCAAACACCAATGGCTTGACAGATAATAAGAATAAAATGACGAAGGAATGTTTGCAGCCAAAGAGAAGACTAAAAATGTACTCTACATCCACTGTTGCTAACTCATCGAGCATCCAAACAGGCCAGCATGAAGAAATTGCAGTTGCAAATGATGTACGGTCGAGGACCCGAAGTTATTATGTGGCCAACACACCGAAGGGCTCCAAGGGAGGCACACAAGATGCCAAGGTAAACCAATGGTAACATGAAGGCGACCCAGGTGGGGAGGGTGGGGAAATCTCAAATGAACATCGGGAATCCGTTTGGGAATTTCTCAACGGACCCAAAAGCAAAGTACAGAGATCCTAAATACGCGACCGCATGTAACTAATGAGACAGAAATCTCTCACTAAGGTGGAAGGGCCGTATGAGAAAGGCAGTTGGCGAGGTCCGATGTATGCAATTACTAAGCAGGGGGAGATCCATCAATGGAGAATGTCGCTGACCTGAGAAAGTGATACGATTTGAAGAATGAATCACCTCCGAACACTAGACATCCGTAAAGATTAGGAAGACTCGGTGTAAAGACGAAGGAGGTGAAAATTTTGGATAGGAAGGGCTAACACGCAAGAAGTAGCATGGTAGGAACCTATAAAGCGGGCCGGAACCACTCCAAGGATCTACAACGCAGTGCACATACAACGGCAACTGTTAGCGGTATAACGCAATGCAGAAAGAAGATGATCGTGGTGGGATGGTGCAACATGCAACTGAGGTTCGCTACTTCAATGACTTTCTACAGTCTTGAAGTTTTGATTGGTGCTCCGAGCTGAGTAACTGGATTGCAGACGTTTCATCTCTGGATTCGTTCGAATCTTGGTATCTGCTATCAATCTATTTGTCATTACGCCCTGAAGATGCCACCACGATTGGTGGGTGAACGTTTGCAACTCATTTACTCAGCTCGGATAACCAAGCAAGACTTCAACCGCCAACCCGAACTACCGGTATGCAGACTCGTTCTACAGTCTTACTATAGGTTACCAAGTTTTAAGCAGCTCTTAGCATGGCCGACGCTACTAGATGAAGCTCGATAATAATAACAATCTCAGGGTTGGCAGATCAGTACTGCTGCGTCGAGAACCGTTAGGGCTACCTGGTGAGATCTGGGTTTGCTGCTACTAAAGGGACTGTATTGGAAGACCGAGTCAAAGGTGCCCTTGCGTTCTTAAATAAATAAATTGTATATGCTCGTTTTTGGTGAGACATCCGTGATGGCATATTCAGGTAAAGAAAGCATTTTCTAGTTCAATGACCACAAATGATTGAAAAATATGCAACAGTAATGAAAATCGTTTATCATTTTTGATAAGGTATCAAAGTTGCCTGTTGTTTCAATGTGTTACCTGATGTTGCACAGCATGTCTATGTCGGGTTTGGTAGGTCTCTTGAGAATATTATCACGGAAGTGTATAAAGTAGGTGTCCATATTCTTTTAGCACATTTGATGGCTGCTTTGTTCATGGCTATCTAGTAGTATCAAGTGCTTGTATTGGCACGCAAATAAAACCGGAGCAAGAGAAGCACCTATAATAGATAAAGGTAGGAGTAAACTGCAATGAAGACGGAGTATGTGGAGGTATGTTTGGTTGACTTCCTCATAACACACT